ACAACAGACGCCGCCAAAGCTCCGAACTGTGGTCGCCGTGACCTCAATAGGCGGCTACGCGGTGGAGGACCGAGACGCAAAAAGAGCTGTATTTGAAAACCTACGATAGGAATCGCACACAGTGCAAACGGCCATTTGGAATCCGACGCGGACACGCTTGCGGAGCTTGATTCTGTGAGTGCACGCGTACAACAGACGCCGCCAAAGCTCCGAACTGTGGTCGCCGTGACCTCAATAGGCGGCTACGCGGTGGAGGACCGTGACGCAAAAAGAGCTGTATTTGAAAACCTACGATAGGAATCGCACACAGTGCAAACGGCCATTTGGAATCCGACGCGGACACGCTTGCGGAGCTTGATTCTGTGAGTGCACGCGTACAACAGACGCCGCCAAAGCTCCGAACTGTGGTCGCCGTGACCTCAATAGGCGGCTACGCGGTGGAGGACCGTGACGCAAAAAGAGCTGTATTTGAAAACCTACGATAGGAATCGCACACAGTGCAAACGGCCATTTGGAATCCGACGCGGACACGCTTGCGGAGCTTGATTCTGTCAGTGCACGCGTACAACAGACGCCGCCAAAGCTCCGAACTGTGGTCGCCGTGACCTCAATAGGCGGCTACGCGGTGGAGGACCGTGACGCACAAAGAGCTGTATTTGAAAACCTACGATAGGAATCGCACACAGTGCAAACGGCCATTTGGAATCCGACGCGGACACGCTTGCGGAGCTTGATTCTGTGGGTGCACGCGTACAACAGACGCCGCCAAAGCTCCGAACTGTGGTCGCCGTGACCTCAATAGGCGGCTACGCGGTGGAGGACCGTGACGCAAAAAGAGCTGTATTTGAAAACCTACGATAGGAATCGCACACAGTGCAAACGGCCATTTGGAATCCGACGCGGACACGCTTGCGGAGCTTGATTCTGTGAGTGCACGCGTACAACAGACGCCGCCAAAGCTCCGAACTGTGGTCGCCGTGACCTCAATAGGCGGCTACGCGGTGGAGGACCGTGACGCAAAAAGAGCTGTATTTGAAAACCTACGATAGGAATCGCACACAGTGCAAACGGCCATTTGGAATCCGACGCGGACACGCTTGCGGAGCTTGATTCTGTGGGTGCACGCGTACAACAGACGCCGCCAAAGCTCCGAACTGTGGTCGCCGTGACCTCAATAGGCGGCTACGCGGTGGAGGACCGAGACGCAAAAAGAGCTGTATTTGAAAACCTACGATAGGAATCGCACACAGTGCAAACGGCCATTTGGAATCCGACGCGGACACGCTTGCGGAGCTTGATTCTGTGGGTGCACGCGTACAACAGACGCCGCCAAAGCTCCGAACTGTGGTCGCCGTGACCTCAATAGGCGGCTACGCGGTGGAGGACCGTGACGCAAAAAGAGCTGTATTTGAAAACCTACGATAGGAATCGCACACAGTGCAAACGGCCATTTGGAATCCGACGCGGACACGCTTGCGGAGCTTGATTCTGTCAGTGCACGCGTACAACAGACGCCGCCAAAGCTCCGAACTGTGGTCGCCGTGACCTCAATAGGCGGCTACGCGGTGGCGGACCGTGACGCAAAAAGAGCTGTATTTGAAAACCTACGATAGGAATCGCACACAGTGCAAACGGCCATTTGGAATCCGACGCGGACACGCTTGCGGAGCTTGATTCTGTGAGTGCACGCGTACAACAGACGCCGCCAAAGCTCCGAACTGTGGTCGCCGTGACCTCAATAGGCGGCTACGCGGTGGAGGACCGTGACGCAAAAAGAGCTGTATTTGAAAACCTACGATAGGAATCGCACACAGTGCAAACGGCCATTTGGAATCCGACGCGGACACGCTTGCGGAGCTTGATTCTGTGAGTGCACGCGTACAACAGACGCCGCCAAAGCTCCGAACTGTGGTCGCCGTGACCTCAATAGGCGGCTACGCGGTGGAGGACCGTGACGCAAAAAGAGCTGTATTTGAAAACCTACGATAGGAATCGCACACAGTGCAAACGGCCATTTGGAATCCGACGCGGACACGCTTGCGGAGCTTGATTCTGTGAGTGCACGCGTACAACAGACGCCGCCAAAGCTCCGAACTGTGGTCGCCGTGACCTCAATAGGCGGCTACGCGGTGGAGGACCGTGACGCAAAAAGAGCTGTATTTGAAAACCTACGATAGGAATCGCACACAGTGCAAACGGCCATTTGGAATCCGACGCGGACACGCTTGCGGAGCTTGATTCCGTGTGTGCACGCGTACAACAGACGCCGCCAAAGCTCCGAACTGTGGTCGCCGTGACCTCAATAGGCGGCTACGCGGTGGAGGACCGTGACGCAAAAAGAGCTGTATTTGAAAACCTACGATAGGAATCGCACACAGTGCAAACGGCCATTTGGAATCCGACGCGGACACGCTTGCGGAGCTTGATTCTGTCAGTGCACGCGTACAATAGACGCCGCCAAAGCTCCGAACTGTGGTCGCCGTGACCTCAATAGGCGGCTACGCGGTGGAGGACCGTGACGCAAAAAGAGCTGTATTTGAAAACCTACGATAGGAATCGCACACAGTGCAAACGGCCATTTGGAATCCGACGCGGACACGCTTGCGGAGCTTGATTCTGTGAGTGCACGCGTACAACAGACGCCGCCAAAGATCCGAACTGTGGTCACCGTGACCTCAATAGGCGGCTACGCGGTGGAGGACCGTGACGCAAAAAGAGCTGTATTTGAAAACCTACGATAGGAATCGCACACAGTGCAAACGGCCATTTGGAATCCGACGCGGACACGCTTGCGGAGCTTGATTCCGTGTACAACAGACGCCGCCAAAGCTCCGAACTGTGGTCGCCGTGACCTCAATAGGCGGCTACGCGGTGGAGGACCGTGACGCAAAAAGAGCTGTATTTGAAAACCTACGATAGGAATCGCACACAGTGCAAACGGCCATTTGGAATCCGACGCGGACACGCTTGCGGAGCTTGATTCTGTGAGTGCACGCGTACAACAGACGCCGCCAAAGATCCGAACTGTGGTCGCCGTGACCTCAATAGGCGGCTACGCGGTGGAGGACCGTGACGCAAAAAGAGCTGTATTTGAAAACCTACGATAGGAATCGCACACAGTGCAAACGGCCATTTGGAATCCGACGCGGACACGCTTGCGGAGCTTGATTCCGTGTGTGCACGCGTACAACAGACGCCGCCAAAGATCCGAACTGTGGTCGCCGTGACCTCAATAGGCGGCTACGCGGTGGAGGACCGTGACGCAAAAAGAGCTGTATTTGAAAACCTACGATAGGAATCGCACACAGTGCAAACGGCCATTTGGAATCCGACGCGGACACGCTTGCGGAGCTTGATTCTGTGAGTGCACGCGTACAACAGACGCCGCCAAAGATCCGAACTGTGGTCGCCGTGACCTCAATAGGCGGCTACGCGGTGGAGGACCGTGACGCAAAAAGAGCTGTATTTGAAAACCTACGATAGGAATCGCACACAGTGCAAACGGCCATTTGGAATCCGACGCGGACACGCTTGCGGAGCTTGATTCTGTGAGTGCACGCGTACAACAGACGCCGCCAAAGATCCGAACTGTGGTCGCCGTGACCTCAATAGGCGGCTACGCGGTGGAGGACCGTGACGCAAAAAGAGCTGTATTTGAAAACCTACGATAGGAATCGCACACAGTGCAAACGGCCATTTGGAATCCGACGCGGACACGCTTGCGGAGCTTGATTCCGTGTGTGCACGCGTACAACAGACGCCGCCAAAGATCCGAACTGTGGTCGCCGTGACCTCAATAGGCGGCTACGCGGTGGAGGACCGTGACGCAAAAAGAGCTGTATTTGAAAACCTACGATAGGAATCGCACACAGTGCAAACGGCCATTTGGAATCCGACGCGGACACGCTTGCGGAGCTTGATTCCGTGTGTGCACGCGTACAACAGACGCCGCCAAAGCTCCGAACTGTGGTCGCCGTGACCTCAATAGGCGGCTACGCGGTGGAGGACCGTGACGCAAAAAGAGCTGTATTTGAAAACCTACGATAGGAATCGCACACAGTGCAAACGGCCATTTGGAATCCGACGCGGACACGCTTGCGGAGCTTGATTCTGTGAGTGCACGCGTACAACAGACGCCGCCAAAGATCCGAACTGTGGTCGCCGTGACCTCAATAGGCGGCTACGCGGTGGAGGACCGTGACGCAAAAAGAGCTGTATTTGAAAACCTACGATAGGAATCGCACACAGTGCAAACGGCCATTTGGAATCCGACGCGGACACGCTTGCGGAGCTTGATTCTGTCAGTGCACGCGTACAACAGACGCCGCCAAAGCTCCGAACTGTGGTCGCCGTGACCTCAATAGGCGGCTACGCGGTGGAGGACCGTGACGCAAAAAGAGCTGTATTTGAAAACCTACGATAGGAATCGCACACAGTGCAAACGGCCATTTGGAATCCGACGCGGACACGCTTGCGGAGCTTGATTCTGTGAGTGCACGCGTATAACAGACGCCGCCAAAGCTCCGAACTGTGGTCACCGTGACCTCAATAGGCGGCTACGCGGTGGAGGACCGTGACGCAAAAAGAGCTGTATTTGAAAACCTACGATAGGAATCGCACACAGTGCAAACGGCCATTTGGAATCCGACGCGGACACGCTTGCGGAGCTTGATTCCGTGTGTGCACGCGTACAACAGACGCCGCCAAAGCTCCGAACTGTGGTCGCCGTGACCTCAATAGGCGGCTACGCGGTGGAGGACCGTGACGCAAAAAGAGCTGTATTTGAAAACCTACGATAGGAATCGCACACAGTGCAAACGGCCATTTGGAATCCGACGCGGACACGCTTGCGGAGCTTGATTCTGTGAGTGCACGCGTATAACAGACGCCGCCAAAGCTCCGAACTGTGGTCACCGTGACCTCAATAGGCGGCTACGCGGTGGAGGACCGTGACGCAAAAAGAGCTGTATTTGAAAACCTACGATAGGAATCGCACACAGTGCAAACGGCCATTTGGAATCCGACGCGGACACGCTTGCGGAGCTTGCTTCTGTGAGTGCACGCGTACAACAGACGCCGCCAAAGATCCGAACTGTGGTCACCGTGACCTCAATAGGCGGCTACGCGGTGGAGGACCGTGACGCAAAAAGAGCTGTATTTGACAGGTTGCAGACCGAGTTGGCGCAATCGCGCACGCTGGTCAACAACGCAGCGCCACGGATGGACGCCCTTCGCTTGGATGCGTCCAAAGTTCGTGAGGACGCAGAAGCAGCACGACGAGAAGCGGCGGCGGCGTCGAAGACGGCGCAAGACGGTGGTAAGTCGTCCCAAGTGCTGAGGTTGTTGATGTTGCATCACTAACGCCTTGATCTCCACAGCGACAGCGTTATCGGATCTCGCACAGCGGCATAAGGTGGCTGGGAAGCGACTGGAGGAGTTGGAGAGGAAAATCACTCGGCTGACTCAGCATAACACCGTTCTACGGCGTGAGAACGTCGACTTCAAGAATAGCTTGGAACATCGTCAGGCTGATCTCGCAACAGCTCAGGATCGCGCAGTGGCTGCAGGTCATGATCGCGCGTGCAAATGTGGCGGGTTGACTCTTGTGCTGACCTGTGCGTTTATTACTTTGTAGAACGAGAGCGAGCGGAGGCCTCCCTCGCTCGCGACGACTTGCAGGCGGAGCTAGATGCGAGTCGACAGTCGCTGCTGAAGGAGCAGGCTTCTTCTGCTGATATCCACAGCAAAATAGCGGAGCGTGAGGAACACCTCGGAGCGTTGCGCAACTTGATCAATCTGGTACCTGCGCCGACTCCGCAACCTGAGGTGGAACGATGCGTGGCGTCGGCCTCTTCCAGTTCGTCTCTTGCCACACTGGCGTCAACGGCCATGAGCCTTGTCTCCTCTGATCCTCCAGCGCGAACATCTTCGCAGCAGCTCCCGTCTGGCTCGGCAAAGCGAAGTGGAGATCTCTCTTCTGATCCAACGTCACAGTCGAAGCGTGCAAAGCGCGCCGTTGCGACTACCGAGGGAGCGCCAGCTGAGTTGGCTTCCTCTACGGCGATGCGTACGTAGCTCCTCCTCATTGTCAGACAAGCGACTTTCATAGATCTCCGTCTGACAGCCCGTGGATCTCTGTATCAGCCCGAAGCCCATTCACGCACGCAATTCCACCTGAGTTCAGCGAAGCTGCGCGCCCTGCCGATGTCACGCCGTGGCTGTGGGAGGTTGTTGCAGGTCACCGCCTTGACCTGCTTACAGCCAAAGACATCACTTCGAAGTTCTTACCACACGACTGGCTGCTACCCGCCGGGGTGTGCAACCCTAAGAAGGGGAAGCTGTCCGTTCCTGCTGACTATCGGCCCTAGCCACAAACCTCGGTCGAAGCTTTATACAAAGCGAGTCCCTGGAAGATCTTCCTGGATAACATGCCCGACCCAGTCTCGTTCGACATTGGAGATCCCCGCTTCCAACCTCTTCTGACCATCATCCGCGATGTGCTGACTCGGAACGATAATCGTGGCGCGCTTGTGTTCTGGGAAATTACCCACTCCATCGAGATTTCCATTTCCAAGGCCAGCGCTGAGTCTTGGGAGGTGAAGTTCACTTCGGATCGTAAGAATCGGAGATCCCACTTTGTGAAGATGCTGCTGCCGGTGTTCGAAGAGGTGGCCCGCCTGTGCAAGGCTCATGTGTGCGACTTGGACATTCTCCTGGAGCCGTTCTTCCTGCCGCTGATCGCAACGTACCCGTGGTTCCCTAAGGGAGCTTCTGGTGCCTCTGGAGATCTGTTACACGTCTTACGAACAACCGACGAGGCGGAGCCGTGGCGCCTGTTCTACTGGAACGCTCGTGCCAAACACCCATCGATGAACGGACCCATCCACACGCGCCTTCGGGGCAAGTTCAAGGCGACCTCGTCAATCGCCTAGCCTGAGTCAGCTGAACAGACCTAGGAGGACCCCCGGAAATCTCCAGCGTCCGACATCTCTTCCTTCACCAATGTACGTAGCTAGTGGGTAGTCTCCTCGAGCATACATCTTCTTTATCGACATCGTAATACACCGTCTTCGACTCCATTTCATATAACTCCCGCCCCACAACTTAATTGTACACTGTCAATGTCATGACTGGGAGATCTCCCCAACTGGAGTGTGTGATGTGAAGGCATGTCGTAGGTCGCCGTGCATTCTGGGAAGTGATTTGTGGTGATCAAGGCCATAGCACAAACTCCAGGCGTAGGACTGCACTTAGTCCGACGGCCACCGACCACGCCTTCACGCCCTCGGTGTCTCCTGCACTGCGGCTCCGGGCTGGATCTCCAAGTCGGCGGCGACAGCGATCCGGCCAAAATCGACGGAACGCGAAAGTAGTCTCCGACACGAACGGTGCCGGTTTACACCATCGCACAGACCCAGCGCGTCGTGGCGAGGGCGTTTCAGCAGCCGTCGGACGCGCGTTCGCACCCCAGGTGCCTCCAGCACTGCGACACCGGGTTGGATCTCCAAATCGCCCCCGAGTACTCGTTCGTCGTAATTCTAATATCCGACCAGATCATCACAAGTAACCTCGTTTCTCCATTCCATCGCGTGATCTTCTCTCCATTTCTTCTTCCACTCAATCAAATGTAAATGTGCAACAAATACCATCCCGCGATCGCCCCCGCCAGGTGGGTTTTCTTTTCCCGTCTAGCAGTCGACGCACTCCCCGACATACTTCTGCACACTTCGGAACATATCTCGCCAGTAGAAATGCCTCCGAAGCTTTTGGAATGTTCGGCTGACGCCCTGATGACCTCCCTCCACACTTGTGTGGAGATGATGCAGGAGATCTTCGTGGAGTGTACTCGGCATTACCAGTTTCACCATAGATCCACGGTCCTCGACATCATCACCGCGCCCCTCGACTGGACAGTACATCAAGAGGCCATGCTCGTCGACCTCGTAACTGTCAGCCAGTTTACTGCACGTCTTGGCTTGACGGCTCGAGATCTGAGAGAGATCACCGTGCAGGAAACACTTCAGTGACCAGATCCACACCTCCTCGTCTTGAGCACGGCAAATACGTTCCAAGCGCAGCTGCTTGACGACGTCTTCCTGCAACACGGCTGGTGCGACAGTACGACATCGGCTTCGCGTGACAGCGCCTACCTTCGGATGGGCGTAACGTTCTTCGCGCGTCTTGAGGAGCTCGTCCAGTCGATTCAAGGCTCGAGGTCCGTGTAATCGGTGTGACTCTCGACAACTACCCCGGCACCACGCTGCAGCGCCTGTCCCGCCAGCATATCCGCGGGTTGGTTCCAATCGCGTTTTACGTGGATGAGTTCGCATTGCGGCCAAGACCGCAAAATCACTCTGGCCTTCTCACGCAAGAGCTGGAGTCCCGATGACTTGCGCTCCGTCTCTCCACGCAGTTGACGGATGACTAAATTGGAGTCGCCACACACAATGAGACGGTCGATCTGGAGATCGGCAATCAAACGAAGTCCAAGAAGGAGGCCATGGTACTCGGCCTCGTTAACACTGAGGTCCGGTAAATAGCCAGATTCAGCCTTGACAACCTTCCATCCAGGAGCATCCCATACCACAGCGCTGAAAGCTCCACCAACTCGTTTCGGCTTGGCCGGTCCGTCAAAGCTGACGACGCAAACGTTTTCTCCGGGCGTGAAAGTCGGCATCGGGATAGCCAATGCTCTCGTCGACTTCTTCTGCGGAGAGATCTCCTCCAACGCTGCATCCATCTCTGCGCGCGGAGTGATACTGGCGGCAACCAAACCTAGTAGATCATCTTCGCCTTTCGTTAAGCGTTCGATCTCTAGCGAATGGGGGGAGAGCAGCGCCGCCCACTGAGCTAGCCGGCCCTTCAAGCCTTTCGCGCGGAAGAGCCATGCGAGAGTCGTGTGTCTGGTGAGCACTCGGATGTGTCGACCACTCAGCATGGTGAAGCAGCTATCGAGGATTCTTAGCATAGCCAGTACTTCCTTCTCCGCAATGTCGTGCCCGATCTCGTGAGACCGCAGTGTCCTACTCGTAAATTTGACGGGTACGTACACTCCATCACGACACTGAACAGAGATCGCCCACTTGCTTGCGTATACAATCACAACAGGATCCAACTATGGGGCAAAATGGTAGAGCATGGGTGCGTTGATCATCTTGAACTTCAGGGTATCGATGGCTCGTAGCGCGTGGCCCTATCTCACGGTCGCCTCGTGATTTCCGCTGACGTTTGTGGCTCGACCCTTGATGAAATCGGAATCTCCGAACTCATACAACACTGTGGCATATACTGCGAGATCTTCGATGAAGCGATTGTAGTAGTTGAGACTGCCGAGGAATGACTGGAGAGCCTTAAGCGTTTTGGGAAACTTCAACGCCTCCAGACTTGCCAAATCTTTCGGCTTGGTGAACAGGCCTTCACCGAAGATCTGATGCCCCAGATAGTCGACTTTGCTCATACCCCAACTGCTCTTCTCCGCGCTAATAGACAGATTTCAGCGGTCACAAACCTCTAGGAGCTTCTTGACCTTCTCACACAGTTCGTCCCACGAGCTTGTCCAACTAAGATGTCGTCGATGTAAGTGCGACGTCCCAGCACCGACGGCAGCGATCGAACTTCAGGGACACCTTCCTCGAAAATGTTGACGAGATCCGCGCGATCTTGACCCGGCGAGATCCGCAGCACGCCATATAACGCATTGTCGATCAGCCGCCGATAGATTTGGGGGGCATTCTTCAGACCAAACGGCATTCGCAGCCACTCGAACAGGCCGAACGGCGTAATGAACGCGGAGATCTCTCGGGCTCGATCGGTCATACTCACCACCCAGAACCCACTCGCCATGTCGTGAGAACAGAACCACAGCAAACTGTCGAGATCTTCGAGGAGGTCGTCAATCAACGGCATGGGGTAGATCATCAGTCGTGTCAGAGCATTGACCAGACGGTGGTCGATACAGAGTCGGACGTCCACGCCGTTCTTCTTGACGACGATAACGATCGGAGACGCCCAAGGAGAAGTGGAGATCCGAATAATCTTCGCCCCCAGTAGCCCTTGACGAGTTGGAACACCTTTTCACGGAACTGAGGCGGGATCCGGCGACAACGCTGAGCCACCGGTCGTGCACCACCAACGTCGACGTCACAGATCGCCCCCGTCGCCGCAGGGGGTAAAGCATCCCCTTTGCCGATGAGAAGGTGCCGCCGCTCCCAAAATGATATCACGCAGACGATCAATCTCCTCTGCTGTGTTCTCAGTTGGATCCTCGACCTTGAGATCTTCCCTTTTAACTTCTGCCGTCAGGGAGATCTCTGGTAACACCGCCATTTCCTTTTCGATGTCTTCCGCAGTGAGATCGGCCCCTTCACGAACATACTTCGCTTCATCCATGTCGGTTGCATCTCCGCCTTGGCTTGGTTCGACCTGGGTTACTGGGAGCATTCCGCTCACCGGCTCCTCTTCTTTCTCGTCGTCGGTCTGCCAGTCAAAACTACCCCAGCTACTAGTAGACTCAGCGCTTTCGGACGCACAGCTACAGCTGTCGCTCCAGTCGCTTTCAACGATGACCGACAACGTGCGATGAACCATTTCCTCGGTGTATTTTGGATTGTGGCATGAGGTCAGGGGTATATTCTGGGAACACCTTGCGGAGCTCGGCCTCAGCCACATTTGCCGGAGTCGACGCAAAGCCTACCGGTGTTTCGCCACTGTTCGTAAAGGATAGGCCGCTCTCCTCGCCTGCATGAGTTTTTCCGAACGCGGTAGACTGGAGTCATCGCTGTCCATACCAGAGATCACCTGACCGGGGTCGGTAGAGATCACGTCCTCCTCGGTTTCGGTCACCCTAGTCGGATCAGTCGAACTTTTCATCAGCTGCATTTGAGGATGTGTGTCGTCAAGTGTGAGTCGCGTGCATTCTTCTGACGTTGCTGCTGCTTCAACGGTCTTCACTTGTGGAGGCCGTGCTAAAATCGCAGTCGGAGTCCGGTAGCTAGGACGCTCGACCAGCGGTCTAGACTCTTCAACTTCCGCTTCGTTTGCATCTCCAGTGTCCACAGCTGCTTCGAACGCAAGTGCTTGCCACTCCCGATAGCGGTTTGAATTCTTCCTAGCGAATCCAGGTCGACGCGGGATCTGCCCAACGGGTAACCAGATTGCCAAACGCACCAAACGACCCAGTACCAGGCGGCTCGTGCTGATGTTGGTGATCCGGAGGTATGACTTGTTACTGAATCCACCATTCACCACCGTGATCACCCATTTTTCCCCTCTCGTTACCCACAGTTCAAACCGCTTGTTGTGGGACTTGAGTGAGATCTCTGTCCATTGGCCAGGACCGACTTCATGGAATCCCGTTGCGTAGGCCGCGTCAGCCTTGCTGCTATACAGTGGCTTACGGTCGGTCATCTGGATGTGAACTTCGTCCGGCAGACAGAGCGTTCCGTCAGCCAGGTCCAACCTCACCCCCGCAGGAACCATAAAGTCCATGCCGAGAATGACGTCTTGTCCTGAGAGATCTCCAACCCACACACGGAACTTGTACAGCCAGAGTGAGCTTGACTTCTGCTCAACCTTCTGTGCGGTGCCCAGCACCCCCCACACCAACACAATTCATTGTCTGTGTTGTATCAATTTCACAACCCACCTTACATACAAAGGTAGAGTCGATTATCGACACTTCGGCTCCAGTATCAAAGAGTAGGACGGCACGGACATTGTTGACCGCACCGGTCGCCTTCGACTGCTTGAACCACTTGGAGGGAGTGTAATACTTCCAGTAACCTCGGCGTTCACCCGGCGACAGTCGAAGGGCCATCACACAAGGGCGACGCGAATAGTCATCTTCATCCGAGGTAAGAGATCTGACTGTATTCACCGCATTGCAGGAAGTTGGGTCTTCTAACGCTCGCGCCTTCCTCTGAACATACGCATA